TAGTTTAATATTTGGGCATTTTTATGGCAATTTGATTTTTTCTTTTTGTTTTGCTTCAAGTTTAAAAGAAACATCACTTTTAATGTAATCTGCCTTTTGATGTGGACATAGACAAAGTTAAATTGTTTTTCTCAGCCTTTAAATCTGATTATAAATTGACAATGCACTAGATTAAATCAAACAATTCTCATTTTGCCTTTTATATTTATGATTATTTGTCTTCTTCATACTTGAATTTGTTTGATGTAATCACATTTCCAGAATTGTTCACACTGATCCGGATACGCTGATTTCAAACATCAGTTTAACTCTCCCTTCCTGCTTTCATGATGCATTACTACACACATGTTAAATCTATTCAAAATATTGATCTATGAGTTCTTTTACATTTTTTTTTCTTTTATCCTAGCAACAAGACAGTCTCATGTTTTATGACTTGTTATTCCCAGAAAATTACAGCTCACTGTTGGACAACCACTTTTTAGTTTTAAAATATAATAACTTACAGAGGAACAATGACATCTTTTTTCAATATCCAACAGCCACAAGTCCTGATTTATTGTGTGGTCATTCTAAATCATTACTAGAACTTTAACCTAATTTTCAAAGATGACACTCAAACAAGTGGAAATAAAGAATAGTTTTTTTTTTTTTTTTTAATCACCACAGTGGTTAATCTTGGTTTGTTTTTCATCACGGTATAAATCAACATCATTTGGAAAGAAGGCAAAGCATTCATGTGTTATGACAAAACTATAAAGCACGCCACTTCATTCAGCTACTCCACTGTCGCAAATACAAGTATGCACACACACACCACAAATACACACTTTTTCAAAGACATCTTGAAAGTAGTTCAGATTTAAGACTTGTCGCTGGTGTGGAACACAGTGAAAAGGAATATTCTGCAGGGCCCTTGGGGGCCTGAAAGCTACTAAGTAGCTCTCTCTGTGCTTTCATGCAGGCATGTGTCCATGCATGAGTGTGAGCGTACACACAGATGAAGTGTGTGTAGCAGCGGCGAAGAGAGTGACCCGAGAGGCCCAGCTAGTTACAGCCTCTCTGCTGGAGACTACCACTTTCACAAAACGTGCATTGTTGGCACAGAGCCTCAGACACCAGAGGAACGCTGCATGCACACAAACATACAAAAATACATACACGCCCATAGCTCCCAACCCATGTTCTGTTTACCATGAATAAAGTCAGTAAGTTCCTCAGAGCATCAGTCTTTCAGTGAGAACCTCATACTGTACAAAATGTACAGCCTTGGTCTAACAATAGCCCCTGGGTGGTTGGTCGGACTATAGGTGTTTGCTAATTATGTGTGACTGTGAGCAGTCAAAAGCAGTTACTGGAAATAATGTGGTGGGCTGGAAAATTTGAGATGGACTTACTATAAAGTTTGGTAAGTTTTGACTAAGGTTTTTGTCCAAACAGAGGAGTTTGTTTTGCACAGCTTCCACAACAACGCAATAAATATAAAATGATCTTCGTGAACATCATTAGCATCAAAGAGAGGGGGCGTTCAGCATCATGACCTCCTCTTCAGCTCTGAGCTCTGCAGTAGTTGGCTGACTGCAGTGCACGTCAGCGCCTCTCACCCCTCCACTATAACCCCCTCAAGCCTCTGGCGGTCACACAAGTGTGAAAGTAGCAGCCTCAACTGTTGCCCGGACCAAGCCATTCAGCATCCACAGTCCAGACAGAGAGGAGGGAGAGCGCGCACAGAGCACAAAGTGGGAGCAGGGGTGGACCATTTGCGTAAAACCTTTCCAAGTGTGGATTGCTTTTGGCGCGTCATTTAATAGATTGGATCTTTTTTTTTTTTTTTTGTACTTCTTCTGTTTGGAAAATTGACACTGAATTCATCTCAATATTTTGCTGACAGCATGAATTCCTCACACCTGTTCCTGTTGGCAGTTTTAAGCTGCATCCTGGCTGCTGCGTTGGTTACCGGGGACCGGAGTTTCCTCCAACTCTCACCGGATCCAAGTGACCTGGATGAGGACGTGGTCTACCAGCATATGAGCAGACTGTACGACAAATGCAGCAGGGGGCACAGTCTCAAAGAAGGGAACACTGTCAAGAGTTTCAGAGCCAGCCAAGGTGAGTGAATTGACGCATTTTATGTAAGAGCGCTAGACAAAAATAAACAGATGCGCAGTTGCGCACGCAGAAATCCCCCCCCCCCCCCCCAATTCTCTCCATGCATGGTTATTAAAAGCGCAACCATTTGAAGGGGGCACAGCTTAGCTTGGCGCTCCAAATAGGTGGAATTGTTCTGGATCAGTCTGAGAATGCATTCAAATGGTTTTAGGACGCAGCGGCGCCACTTGCGCGCAGAGTCTGGTTAAATACCTGACGCGCAAGAATGCACGTGAATCCCCGGAGAGCCACGCACAGTAAAATACAATACAGTAAAGCCTGGGTCATGCATGGTCTCGGTGTTCTTGTCGTTCCTGAAGGGCATGACTGACTCCTGGAATCAAGAGGCTTAACGCACAGCAGTTCTTCTCTGCCTGACGCTGTTTTTATTAACACAACTCTCAGACATTTATATCCTACACAGTTCTCAGATAGTATACCATAACACGTGCGTGTTTTCAGAGGCTTGATGTAATCCGAGGAGAGGTTGAAGAAAGTTTCCACAACTGTGTTGAAACAGTTGATTATGTCTCTGTGTCTGAGCTCAAAGGGAAGCTTTAAGAGGTAAACATTTCCATATGCAGGGCTGAATTTGAGGTAATGTATATCTCTTGAGTCAGCTTATACTTCCGCTGAGCTCTCATACAATGAACAATAACTCTGCTGTTGAAGTTCATGTTAATCATGAATATGCAGCTCTCTGCTCACTCCCCCCACACAGCCAGCCGCCACCTTGCCAGCTAGATTCCCAGAGTCTGGTTCCTCTTAAGAGCACCTTCTGAAATCTACCAAGAAGCTGCTCAGTTGGCAACACAAGGAAAAGTAGTTCAATGTCACAGTTTTCAGGAAAGTTTAATCACAGATAAGTGCTTTTGGCTTGATATAGTGCCGTTTTCTAAATGCATTACCGTTCCCCTCTTTAGATATGTTATGTTGTAGCAATTGTATCTAGAATTTCTGGTAAGAAGCAGGTCACTGGAAGCTCAAATAGCCGAGTTCAAGCAAAGTTCAGTTCCTGCTTGTTACTGGACGCAAAACATTTAGTCTCAAAAGCCAAAAAAGAGACATAAAATCTTTACTTTATTTTGATTGATTTATTGATAACAAAACTAGAACACAGAAAGATACAAAACTGTTTCCATGTGAGCTTCTTAAATGGATTTCAAAGTATAACTTTATTGTTCACTTCACTGACTGACAACAATTGTATGAATGTTAATCTTTGCAGACTCTGCAGATGGCAGGATGGTGTACCGGCTCAATCTTACAACCCTACAGGACTCGGAGGTCATCCTCTCTGCCACATTCCACTTCCTGCTTGATAAGCACTCGCATCCAAAACCCTGGTTTTGTAAACGTTTCAAGAGCCCAGCATGTCGCTCCACAGCCAAGCTCCATTCTCCGTCCATCAGCTTGTTACTTCGCTCCGTCTCTTCTAAGCCAGAGGTCAGATCTGGGTCAAAGGGGTCACTTCTGGGCAATGTGACCTTCCACCCCCACAGGAGAGGGGTGTGGCAGATGAAAGATGTGACCCAGGTCATTAAGGAAGCACGAGACAGGGGTCAACTGCTGGTGTCAGTTGAAATGGACTTAGGGCAGCAGTACCACAAGCAAGCAGAGGAGATGCACTCTGCTGATCGCGTGCCCTACCTGTTACTGTATGCTGATGACCAAGCCTTAGCAGAACCAAACAGCGTGGCTGCAAGCCTGCAGAGATATGACCCGTTCAACGAGGGAGCAGAACTTCACAAGCCTAACTCCTCAGCAAAGCTGAAAGGACGTGTGAGGAGGGAATCAAATCTGCTTTCGGACCCCATTCAGAACAACGAGCTGCCTGAGGCTGAATACAAACCCAGTGGATATAGGAAGGATGAGCTGTGGGAAAGTGATTTGTACCTTGCACTAAAACCCAAATTTAAAGCAGAAATGAAGGGGAAAAAGAGAAAGACCGTGAATCAACCTCAAATTCTGAACAAAGCAGAAAGAACGCAGCTGATCAAAAATGATCTAACAGCTAAAAACCTTAAAGACGCACTCTTTGTCGGCGAGAGGAGAAAGAACGAGCGGCGAAATGAGGGAAAGAGACACAAGGGGAGCGCTAACACTCGCTCACCCATTCTGCGTTTTGACGAACAAACAATGCGTAAAGCCAGGAGGAGACAGTGGGGGGACGTTCAGGACAGACGGTGCTCCAGGAGGAATCTCAGAGTGGATTTTGAAGATATTGGCTGGAGCGAGTGGGTCATAGCTCCCAAGGCCTTTGATGCCTACTATTGTGCTGGAACGTGTGGTTTCCCCATGCCACAGGTAGAATGAACATGTAACATCTGCTAATTGTCTCATTTACTTTCTTGTATGATGAGATGTTTACACTAACGCCAAGTGAAATGTGTCATTTGCTTGCATCTCCTTCAGGTGGTACGGCCATCTAACCACGCCACCATCCAGAGCATAGTACGAGCCGTGGGGATCATCCCTGGGATTCCCGAGCCCTGCTGTGTCCCAGAAAATATGAATCCTCTGGCTGTGCTCTTCCAGGATGAATCCAGGAATCTGGTGCTTAAAGTGTACCCAAACATGTCTGTCCAGTCCTGCTCCTGCAGATAGAAAGGTTGTAAAGGAAATAAAGAGAGGGTGTTTTTGAATATAAACTGAAAATGAGACTTCAATGAGACGTATGTTTATGTCTCTTAAGTGGTTTCCTCATCCTGAGAAAGAATGGGACTCTGCCCGGAAATATTCGTTCAGGAACATGAGGCTGAGGAGAAATCACTTCTGTCTCTGTATCCCTGCAGCGGCAGGCTGGAAACAAATCGTCTGCGGTCTTTGTTGTCAAAGAAGTTTAATAGTTTTCATGCTGTTTGGAATTGTAGGTAGCTGGGAAAAGCATTTAAACGATGGTAATCTTTTATTAACAGAACATTTTTTGAGACATCTCGTTTATTTGCATTCTTCGAATACAAAGACTGCAAACTGAAACCCTTTTAGACGACATCCCACAAAACAGCACTCACAAGTGAAAACTGTTGTTTTTACGTATGGTTTACAGCTCTGTCGTCCTCGGTGCTCATGCGGTGTTCGTTTATTTGCAAGTGGTGGCATTTACAGCACAGTCTTGATGTTTATTTTATATAAAGCAAATTCTGATACATTTTTAAAGAGTACCTAAAATTAATCCCTTTAAGAGTGTTAGAATAAAACCATAACTATTTTTTTGTATTTTGAATGTGAAAATTATAACTCTAACTAGAATTTGTATGGCTTTTTTTTTTTTTTTTTTTTAGACGAGACAGTTTTGTACATGTGTATTGTTTAAATTATGAAACGTTAGCTTCCTGGAATAAACATTAAATTAAATCCAGCGTTTTTATTCAAACATTTTTGTTTTATAATACAGTTTTGCTTGGAATTTATGTTAGGGTTCAATTTTCTGTCAAAACGAAAAGGACACCAGTTACAATATGGTACAAAACAGGTTGGTTCCACTCAGAAATGGGTTATAGATCCCCTCAAAGGCCCCTTGAACCCATTATTAGCCCACACCAAAGGCTCAGCTGTCCAGCGAATAATGAGACGGATGCGGCTGTGGATTCATGGATGATGGAGGAAGCAGGCATTCACCAATCAGGATGTCAGCCACTTGAACTTCAAACTACGGTGCACTTCCCCTTTTCTGCTCATTTAAAGTGTTTTTCAATGCATGGCTCTTCTTTCAATAGCTTCCTTCAACAGATGTTCACAGACAGATGATCTCAGCCTCTTTACTCCACTGCTTTTCGCCTTTTGTTTTCAGTCTGAAGAAGGTGACACTTCCTAAACACTGAGTCAAACCGACAGCGAAATGATGTCGAAAACCATTTGAGTTTTAAATCCATCATTTCTGTGGCTGGTCTTTTTTTCTTCTTGAGCTTCTAAATGTGACACAGAGATCTGTTTGTAACAATGAAGTGCCTTGATGTGACGTAACTGGAGATTAATACTGTATGTCTGAAGGATTGAGACTTTGACTTTAGGGGAAGAATAAAAAGTTGAACCTTTGTGTGCACAAAGAGTCAGTTATTATCAGTCAGAAATAGAACTGAAAAAGGAACGGGACCTTAAACTTAAAAAAACAATTATGATGTGGCTTATAGCAAATAAGAACTTCTTATTTCAAAGTTAAAATCGAAACCAGGCATGTTAAATTGATTGTTTGAAAATTGACCCCAAGAGTCTCCACAAGGCTGTGTCCTACCTCTCACCTAATGACAGCTGGAGGGAATGAATGAATGAATGAATGAATGAATGAATGAATGAATGAATGAA